GCCAAAATGACCAGCAAACTTAACGATTGGGGGAGAATACACACCTCACTACATGGAAGGGCATTAGTATTAAATGCATCAATTTACTCGATGATGTGGTACGTAGCAGCTTTCTGGACACCAGACCAAAGAGCCTTAAAGGACTTACATAAGAAAGCAACAGCTTATCTCTGGACAGGAGACGCATCAAAACAAAGCTTTATCACAAAGGTAGCTTGGCAATACGTAACAAGAAAGAAGAGCCAAGGAGGCTTAGGCGTGCTAGACCCAGCTAACCAAATAAAAGCTCTCCAAACCAAGTGGATTATAAAGCTATTAACGAGTCCTAACCTACCTTGGAGAGCCCTGGCACTGGAAGGGTTACAATAGATCCCAGCATACAAGACACCAGAAAACATGGAGGGTACGTTATGGATAATCAATAAATCTTGGACTATGACAAAACAAGTCCCAAAACGAACCAAGACTGAATTTTTGGAAAGAGCTATTGAAGGCATGGAGAGAAATCTTCCAGTGAAAGTAAGGAAACCAACAATCAAAGAATAAATCCTTAGACAACCCCTCTTCTGTAACCCCTGGATAACCAGCAACGAAAACACACCCTTCACCCTCACCTCAAAGGACACAAGATGGGGCACTTGGTTAGAGAAGGGCATTTGGCAAATCATACACATCTGGGATGACTCAGAAAAAAACTGGCTTTCTGTCAGACAACTTAGAGAAATGCTCAAGGGAAGCCACAACCTAGCCCAAAACCTCCAGCAGATAATAAAGGCCATCCCGATGGAGTGGCAAACAATTCTTCAAGGGGACAAACAGTGGTCAAAAGGAGACTGGGCAGTCGTGGCATTCATAAAACCGATTGAACATGCACTCGCCTTTATAGGAAAGGAAAATGGTAGAAACAACTGGCTCATTTTCTCCATGCACTCGCCTTTATAGGAAAGGAAAATGGTAGAAACAACTGGCTAATTTTCTCCATGCACAAGCTAGAGGAACCAGGCGCAGATTACGGCAAACTAAACAAAGAACCAGTAGCACAAATCGCAGTCAAAGAAATTAATCTCAGAAAAGTCAGAGTAATAGAAAACGAAGACCTCACCTTATTCCACCCCCAAACTACCTTAGAAGACCTAGAATTCGACCCCGCAGAATGGGCATGGAAATTAAAACAATCCACAATAAGTATAGACCGAAGAATCAACCTGATCAATTACACCACCAGTCTAGGCTATAAACTAAGGTGCAGATCAGCAGCCCCAGAAACAATCATAGCAGATCGCTGGAATAGACACCTAGGAATAGACAAGGAAATGTTAAAAGAAATACCTTGGAACCAAATAGCTACCTTTTTTTATTTTTATTTTTTTTTCTTGTTTTTTTTTTTACCAAATAGCTACCTTACACCCCCCCAAATTCAAAAGTTTACAATGGCTAATTCTGTACTTAGCCATCCCACTCAACCTATGGCTAAACATTAGAAGAAAGAAAGAAGACAGACACCCCTTAAATGAACTATGTGCCAACTGCACAGAAGGACAGATAGAAGACTTATTTCACTGCTTCCTACTATGCCCCAAGATACAACCAATATGGGGCAGGATCACACAGATTTGGGCCTCAATTACCGACACAAAACTCATATCAAACTCTACCCTTCTTCTATTAGGATTCACAATCCCCGAAGACTGACCCCCCTTCCATAACAACCTATTCCAAATCCTATGCAAGGCAACAATATGGTCAATTTGGAGGAAACGTTGTCAAGAAACGATAGACAAACAACCAATGCATGTGAAAGAAGCATGGGGTATCCTCAAACAGCAAGTAGAAACGGAATACTGGGTGCTATGGCACAAAGTCAAAAGAAAGATGAAAGCCAACGAGCCCAAAGCCAAGGAATTTCAAACCAAATTCGAGGAGATCTATCTGGACAAGGGCAAGATAGCAATCATCAAGGGGAAAAGCCTAATCTTTAAAATGTGGAATGTTCTAGCACAGACTAACAACCCAGATCCAGAACCAACGAACAGCACACCAGACTCAATCAGCATCCAAATTAGCTCCTTCTAACCCACCTCAGCCTACCACAATTAAGGCATATGTGAATACCCCAATATCTCCAACAACAACAACAACTAAATACGGACCTGGTCAACAGACGTTATGTCAAATCTCCAACCTCCGCAGACATCACTTCCGACAAAAGCAAACACACCACTGCATCATCTTGTACAATCCCACTGTCTCACTTCCAGCCCTTCACCCTACAATACACCACACTGGTCCTGAACCTCCCCCGCCAGACACGGCAACCCCCTCCTAAACACTATGGAAACCCGAACCCCCCAACTTAAACCTACAGACGCATGCCCTACCCAACCCATCATTCTATTACTACTTTCACCCTACACGCATTTACCAGAAAGGCAGTAACAGCTAGTTAAGAGAGAAAATCTAGGATAAGGGTCACAATCCGCAAGGTTGGAAGCTACCACGTAGCAGACAAACTAGCTAAATAGGATAGGGTTCAGGGTTTTAGCACCTGGTAGAACTGGTTAAAGACTTTTTTAAACTAGATAGTTTATGCGCTATAAACATTCATAGACAGCAGAAACTAGAAGAGGAAAATCTAGGGATAGGTAGTCCTAAAAGGGAAGGAGAGGTCAGCACTTCCAGTACCTAACGTGAATCAGACAGTCAAAGGGACTGAGAGGAACAGGCGAGGAGGTGTCCTTTCCAAGCAATTTAATAGGTGCTAGCCACCCAACTAAAGTAAATAGGATAACTCAGGCAGGGGTGGGGGCTGGTACATCCTTCTGTTGAGAAGTAATCAATGCCGGCCCTCGGACTTTCCTACGGTAAAGGGGAAGAGTGTGTGTGAGTCTTTCATGTATTTCAGCCGACTTGCCGGTAGAGTAGGAACCGGACTGATGCCCCCCAGAATGGAAAAGGGGCCAGAACCATAAAAAAAAAGAAGGAAAAGGAGGTGTGGCCTGACTTTCGATGATCACCCTACTAATCACGAAAACCCCCTCATAACTATCAAACAACTAATAGAAACTGAACTCCACACCCTCTGGAAAAAAAAACTCAGAACCAAATACAAAACGCCCGAGACAAAAAGCTCGAGATTATTAAAAGATTTACGGTGGGAAAACTAGGAGGGGGAAAGTTAGGCACGATAGAAGGAAACAGACTAGTCTTGAAAGACTGGTTCACTCTGCCAATCCACAGTAGCCAGGTCCCAGGGAACCCTCCACTCACACCCAGACCACAATCTGAGGCACAACACAACCACGGACCATATGACAGTCCCAATGAACAAATCTAACCGACCAGTCAAGAAGAGTCAGACGAAGAGGCGAACCAGGTTCATACAGGGTTCTACTCGTATGCTATCACGATCAGAGGAAAGGTCAGGAATCTACAGAAGAATGGGTCTCTGGACCCGGTTGCCAGCAAGTTACTATCCGACAATTAATGCGGTCACCCTTCTTATGTGCTATATTAGGAAGGCACGCTGGAACCGGTTTTCAGTGACCAAACAGGTGTGTAACTAGCAGCAACAGGTTAACCTAGGCTGGGGTGAGAGGGGAGACAGCCCTCCACTTCGGAAGGGAAAAAAAAAAAAAAGACCATAGCACCCCGAGGGACAGTCAAGCGAGACTGACACGAGAGGGTCAACGCACCACTCCAACAGTTCCAGCAAGTATTGCCAATCAGGCGGTCTTTTTGACTGAGAGGCACAGTTGGTGGTGACAACACTAGCCCAGCAAAAGTACACAGAAAGAAATACCGAGGACAACAACAGCTTCGAACAGGCTAACTTAGGCAGTGATGAAGTTCGGTACATCTTTCTTAATGGAAGTAATCAATGCCGACTTCCGGGCCTCCAAGTCAGAAGGGGAAGGAGCGAGAGGGAGTATGTTCTGTAAATTTATGACTTGCCGGGGGAATAGGAACCGGACTGACGCTCCCCAGAATGGAAAAGGAGCCAGGAAAAAAAAAAAAAAAAAAAAAGGAAGGGAACTAGGAACAGGTAAATCACAACAGCATAACAGCTGAGGGTTTAGGGTTTAAGGTTTAAGGTTTAGACAGAGACAAGACAAACAGGGCTTAGGGTGTCAGAGATTTCAGGAGACCCATAGGTGTTCCAGTCCACTCTAGTATAACACACCAACCAGACAGCATCACAGTTGAGAGGAGTGGGACCGGGGTCAGACAGTTTGGTAACAGCCAGGAAGATTAAATAGCACAGGCTAATTAGGCAGGGGCGAGGGGTGGTACATCCTTCCTCAGGGAAGTAATCATTGCCGTCCACTCGGGCCTCCCAGCCATAATGGGGAGGAGTGTGCATGAGTCTCCCATGTATTCCGTATTGACTTACCGGTGGAATAGGAACCGGACTGTCGCTCCCCAGAATTGTAGGAGCCAGAACCAAGAGGTTCTGTTAAAAAAAAAAAAAAAAAAAAAAGATTAAGCTGCCGCCTACCGGCAACCACCGATGCTGTCTACAATCCGCTGCTGTATGAGAATTCATCTGCGACGAGGCAGGTGGTGATCCTTACCCCTGGCTGGGCCCACGAGGGGCATTTGGATGGAAGTGGGCTGAGCAAGGAATCTATAAGGTAGGTCATCTATGGGACGAACGGCAAAAGGCTCTGATAACAACATGGTGGAAGTTCTGTAGGGGCCGATGAGACGGAGGCAAATACTGCAAGATCTGAGAAAAGCCATCCCTCCCCAGTAGGTGGAGATTCTCAGGAAGTATGAAGTAACAACGGGAGAGTGGTTGAAAGTGAGGGGACTGCGGAGGCCGGAGATGGTATACAGAATAGAACGGGTGGAGGCGGAAGGGAGACTGGAATTCACCGGCTGGGTGGCGAACTTGGGTTATGAAGGACTGGGGGCTCCGCTGCAGGAGCTTGGTAGGCAGGAAGGGGGGTTCCCCAAGGTGGTGGACAGGAAACTGTTTGAAACCGTGGTGGTGTGCGAAGGACGGAGGGAAGGGGAAGGGTGCTACCTGCCATGCCGTCTGGCAACAAGGAGACGGGATCTCACATGGGATCCAAGGGAGTGGGAGTGGCCAGCCCAAAGGATGCAGACGAGAGCAGTCCCGCTCCAGGATCTGACCACAAAGAATATCTACAACTCCCTGTTGGAGCAGGTGGACATTAGCGGAGAACTTAGGGACCGCTGGGCCAAGAGGAGCTGGCTTCCGGACGTATACCTCAACAGGTGGCCGAAGAAGAGGTGGAACGAGCATGTGCCAGCTTGGCAGCCCTGCCAGATCAGAAACAGACTGGCTGCTATGGCAAATTTATCACCTGGCGATCCCAACAGCACAATGACTGGCATTTAGGAGCCAACACAAGGACCAGGAATGTGCTGCGGGGTGCGGACAAGTGGAGTCTATCCCCCATCTGTTCATGCGGTCCCCGGCAGTCAGGGCATTCTGGGAATGGTGGGCACACAACGTGGCAGACGGATCACCGCTGGAGGCCACAGAGATGGACGGCGCTGCCATCCTCTTGGGGGCCCTGATGAAGGTGGATAGGTCCGGAAATGAAGACATGCTGGCTGCAGAACAATACGAGCAGCGACACTATGGGCCCTATGGACCCTGCGAAATGAACGATGCAGGCAGGGAACAGGCCCACCGCTCCAGGTGTATCAAGAAAGGGCGCTGGAAAATATCAGGACTGGCCCTATGGCCGACCTCAGGAGGAGCCGCCTCACGAAGGAGCAAGGGAAAAGTGTTCTGGGAAAGATGGAGCCCATACCCGCAACTGCTCAACCGCTACCCCCAGACGGGCCAGATGCGGTTTGGCCACGTCTTCATGCGCCATGTACCTAGTCCCCAAGATGATGAGGACTGACCTCAACCGATGTGCACCATAGTTAGGAGGGATGGGTGGGGTGTATTGGAGCTCCCGATAATGGGAGGGAAATAATTGTATTATAGTATGGGGCAAGAGGGGGAGTGTTCACTTATAGAGGGGGTAAGAGGGTAAGAGGGGTCAAGAAAATGCTGGGGTTAGAACTTAGAACATAGCAATCACGCAGACATGTATAGTGCAGGACCCAAGGTAGTGTGGACCGTTTTTGGTCTTCTTCGGCCACTTTCGGTGCTAATACCACAAAGGATCAAGCATAGGTAGATAGGATTAAGGCTTAGGGATAGGCAAGGCAGGTTTGAAGCCAAGAAAAACCTGATGGTAGGAGAGGTAGGGTACCAAGGTCAGAAGCAGATGACATGGGGATAGGAGGCAGAGGAAATGCTGGGCTTAGGCAGATATGGTTGGCAGGTGTGAGTAAGTAACAGGCAGCCCAAGGGGCTGCTAGGACTCCCCCCCCATGCCTTGATCCCTTAGGGATTGTCCCGCGGTGTGCCTGGGTGCTGCTAGTAAGCTTCCCAACTTGCAGGACAATCCGTAAGGACAGGCCAAAGGGTGGGAGCGGGTGGTCCTGGAGCAACCCCCCGTTGGATAGGCAGCTCGAGCCACAAGGGTAGGCTGACTATCTTTTCTGTCTAATCGCACCCCACCCCCGCTGCTTGTTTCAAAAAACTTTGCTTGCCGGTGAGAAGCAACCGGACTGATGCCCCCCAAAGTAGAAGGGGCTGGGAGTTGCGCCTCCCTGCTATGTTTTCTTTTTCTCTGATCTGGATTCCAACATCGGTCTTTCCGTGCACCTNGCGCCTCCCTGCTATGTTTTCTTTTTCTCTGATCTGGATTCCAACATCGGTCTTTCCGTGCACCTTCACTCCACTGGCAACGTCAGCTGAGGACCGCTTTAGTCCTTAGAAGTATGGAGAGAGATAAGAGAAAAGTGGGTATGGAGTGGCACAGACATGGCTTACAAAGCTCGAACAAAACTTCAGCAGAGCGGAGAAATGCATCTGGTTGCTCTTTCTCTTTTGTAATGACCCATCAAAACACAGACTGAGAACACTGCTGATTTCTGAAGTTCTGCCGATGGAATGGATGCCTTGCTGAGATTCCCGCATTCTGCTATGTTTCTAAGTCTGTCTGTGTGTGCGTGCTTGTGACCTGCATGCCTGTCTGAGTGCTTGTTGGTATGAGTGTGTGTGGGACCCGCAAGGGTACTTGCTTGTTTGGTAGGTCCGTAGCGCAGGTACTTACCTGTGGCCGTGGCATTGAGGGTTGTAGCAGGGAAAAACACTCAAGTGGCGAAGCTAGCGGCCCCGAGGCCCTTGGGGTAGCGGAAAAACACTCAAGTAGGCCGGTAGGCCAATACTGCACCCCACTGCAGTTGGCGTGAGGGGGTACTGGAGGCCGAGCAGAAAAAGACAAAGTTGGCATTTTTAGAGTCCAGTAGCGGTAGGGTAGGTCTAGGCCGGTACCAGTCCAACCAGTCTAAGTCTAGAGCCTGTACGGGTAATATCAGGGTCTGCAATGATGTTTCCCTCCAAAACGGAGGAGGTACCGGTTGCTTGGAGAGGCCGAGATTTGGAATCACCGCCCAGGAGGCAAGTAGGCCGCTATATCAAGAGGCAGGGCAAGGAGCCCGGCCTCATTCTTCAGTGTGCGAGTTGGGCGTCACGCTGCTGGAGCGCTAGGTGGAGGAGCGCTGGGCTCTACAGCGCTGCTGGGAGGAAGAAGTCGGGAGCTTCCACCTTGGCTATGGTGGAGCTCAGCCGGTAGGAGGAAGAGGAGAAGGGGACCAAGGAGGAGAGTGGTAGGGTACTTACCTGGCTATGGTAGACACCATCTTCATCTCCTTGCTAGGCGCTGCATCAGGAAGTCCCCAGTGGGGGTAGTGCCGCATCAAGGAAGCTCGGACAGAGTCAGGCATGGCGGTTGAGTGGGCAGCGGCATAGCTGCTGGGTGATGACCTTGAAGAAGGGCAGCGGTGTAGCTGCTTGGGGTTGTCCTTTGTACCGAAGGTTGAAACCTCAGTAGTCCGCCATAGCCTCGGCCTGTATGTGGAGGAAGAAGAAGGGCTGTCATGGCTATGGTGGACCTCATCTTGTGCCTGCAGTAGAAGTGGGATTCAGACATTGATTCTGGTTCAGCTGTTCAACATTATTATTGTTTATTTATTGTTTGAATAAGAGAGGAGGAGATAAAGAGGAGGTTGTTGAGCGAAGAAGAAGAGCTTTGTCTTTGGTCTATGTTGGAGTACACCATCTCTTTCTTCTTTCCTGATTCTTCTTCTTCTTCTTTCCCTCTCTCTCCTCTCCAGTTCTTTCATTTCTTTTGCAATTGGACGGCATTGGGCTCAAGTTCATTCATTTCTTTTCGCAATTGGACAACATTGTACTTTCTGATGATTGCGGACTTCAAAATTGGCCAGGATCGTAACATTGGCATCGGAGCGGATTCTACTTGTTGGCGAGAGTTGACTTGGCTGCCATAACCCTAACCCTAGTGGTAAGGGCTACCACTTAGGGTTAGGGCTGGAAGTTAGGGTTAAGTGGGGCAGCATGGTAAAGGGAAGCTGCTCCCACCTGGCAGGGCCGTGTAGGGTCGACACTAGAGCCGACCAGGTTGTTTGAGTGCATGTTTGTGGTGGCGAGACACAAGGTGGGACTTCGTGATGCAATTTGAGAGAGGCGACAGTGAAGGGCACCTACAACTTGAATCTGGACTTCAGGGAAGACGAGGAGTGACTTTAGGGCTCCCCTAAAGTAGGCGAGCTTGAGGGTGGCAGCCATATCTGCACCTACGGACTGCAAGTTGCTGCTTTGATCTTCAACATCGACGGGGGATCCGGCTGTGTACTTTGGGGTAGATGTTGACCCTCCTAGATGATAGGACACTAGTGTAGAGGATGCTAATTGGGTCAGGAGGACTATGTGAGAGGGGGGTGAGTTCTTTCATCTCAAGAGCCCGGCCACTCAGGTAAGTGTCGTGCCACCGGGGTGCCCATGTGTGCGTGCATGGAATTGACAGCCTGTTGGGGTTCTCTGGGTTCTTTTTCCATCCTCCATAGTCTTGATTGTGTGTGAGGTGTGTGAACTGCCTACTCACCTGATGAGTGAATGAATGAAGTATCTTGTTTGTCATGTGATATCTCTCTGCAGTGCTTTGTTTGTTTCATTCTGAACGGCGGTAGTCTACAGGTTCTTTCTGGGGCAAAATTTCGTGTTTCAATTCAAGTAGGGACAGAGTAGGTCTCCGTGGAACTCTTGTTGGTTGGGACCCGGTTTTTACTCCACTGGGACCATTTGGGACTCAGTGGGACCGGGCCCAAACAAGAAGGGCCCCTCAGGCCAAATCTGTTGACGTTAGTTACCTTGCTCTATCTGATTGGGATACGGACTTTATGCTTTTGGACCAGGACACTCGTTGCGGAAGGGATCTCCGCTGGGACGTGTTATTAGACTTTACCACATAATCCGCCGCCTGACTCGCACCTTATACACCACTCAATTCTCTCTTGCATTTCGCTGTACATCTTGAATCTGATTTGCTGTGTTTTCACGGAGCTGAGGCTGGCTAGGCTTGGGAGGACCCCATATGTAGTCAGTCCAGACTGTGTGGCTGGATCAGATCTCTCTGATCTTTTCTTTTTTGCTGTTTTGACTGCTCTCCACTCCAAATGAATTGCCGCTCCGGCTAGGAGTTCTACCTTCTCTTCTGAATGATTTCAAGCTGTTTCTTTCATTGGGTTCATTAATGCCTGCGTCTACACGGTCGCAAACGAGAGAGAGAGAGAGAGAGAAGAGAGAAGTTATTGAGTGTTGCTCGTGAGGGAGTGAGGAGAGGGAAGAGGAGTGTTCGTCGCAAAGCTGAGAGGAAGTACGGACCCCTCTTGAGAGTCTTACTGACACCCTCATCCTCCATCATGGCGTCTGCAGCAGATTGGAAACTGCAGATGGACGCTGCCCCTGAGGCAGAAAAACAGCAGTATCAATTCTTCTACGAGAAAGCCTTGAAGAGGGAGGAGGAAGAGAAAGAGAGAGAGAGAAGGGATAAGGTGCAGGCTCACGAGGCCGTCCTTAGCACCGTGTCCGCTCTGACTGATGAGGAGGTAGAAGAGAAAACGGTTCCCCTCCTCAGAGCCTTAGCAGGGGTCCGGGTTGCTGAGGACCATGCTGGCCAACTCACACAGGTGTTTAAGCAGCGCAAGGAGTTGCGCGAAGACATGGCCAAGATGGCGCAGCAGCACCACGATCAGCTGCAACAGTTTGCTAGTTCGCAGCAGGCTCAAATCGTCTCTTCACTCACCTACCCTGCCTCCAATGTTGCGTGTCAGTCCAGTTTTGCCCCTCTGACTACGTCTACTTCTTCTCCTTCTACTTCTTCTTCTTCTTTGAGTGTGGTTAACAGCCAAAGCGGATCTGCAGCAAGTCCAGACCCCGCTGTTGCTGCTGCTGCTGCTGCAGCGGCAAGTGGTGGTGCAGGGACTTCTGGAACTGTTGCAGCCCCGGGCCCGGACCCGGCAATGGCTGGGCCAGGCGGCAACTTTGCTTACATCGACAGGAAGGCGGCGCAGATTCCGTCCAAGTATGACGGAAAGGACGACGTCGAGTCTTGGATCAGCTCTATGCGGTCCTACTTCGATGTATTGGGGACACCCCCGTCCACTCAGTCGTCTATCCTGGGGACCAATGTGGAGCCCGTCGTGCGGGGTTTCCTAGAAACCCAAGCTGTCCAATCAGGCTATAAGAGAATAGATTTGAACAAATGGCTAAAGGCTACGCCTACTGCCGCACTTGAGGATCTCTTGATCAAACAATATGTTGATCCACATGCTGCAGCTAAAGCAAGACTAAAGCTGGACAAGCTCAAGCACAGCAAGTGGACCGGCACCATGCACAACCTGCAGCAGTATGTTAGTAAACTCTTTGCTACTCCGGATCTGGAGATGACTGCGCAGTCTTGTTTGGATGTGATAAAAGGTACGGTCTCCTCTACTCTAAAAGATCGCCTAGGGCTCGGGCTCAGCGGATATACAGATTGGCTTACCCTCATGCGAGACTTAGTCAAGCTGGAGGCACAAGACCTCTCGGGTGGATCAAGTGGCAAAAAGGCCACCAGCCGCAAACGGTTTCCAGGCAGCAACCGTTTTGCAGCACATGATCTGCTTGAGGCTGACGAGGAGACCCTCGTGGACGAATCTTCTCTTGATGACGATCAAGAGCAAGACTGCGGGGCATCTTGCTCTTTGTCAGCCCATGAGTCTGAGTTTGTAAATGACGAAGAATCCATGAATGCCTTTAAGAAGACTGCCTTTAAGAGTAAGGGACCGAGGACCATGATGAAGAATAACACTAACACTATCCTTCTTCCCAAGGGAGCAAAGATTCCACCAAAACCGGAAGATCCTGCCACAAAACCATGGGTAGATCTCCGGATTAGTGAAAGTGAGTGGAAGGACAGGGTGAAGAGAGAAGTTTGCCTGCATTGCACCAAACCGGGACATTCAGTCCAACATTGTTTCAGATTGCAGCAGGGAAACCAGCAACGGGGGTAGAGGCATCATCAACACACTCTACTGATGGAGAGGCTGAACATGTAAGTACAGATTCTTCTTTGGATTCTGATCCCACTCAGCAAACCTCTCATGAAACCCCATCTGATGTTGATTCCAAGGCTGAGAAGATCCACATCCTATACAAGGAGCCTTGGGTAGAGTCGGAAGAAATTGACTTCCATTCTCTGTTGACGCGCTGGGCTCACATGAAGCAAGAACGCGCGCAAGGGAGAACGAAGTCGATCTTCTTCAAACTCTACATTAATGGCCGTTACATCCGTGCGTTGTCTGATTGTGGTGCAACCGCCAACTACTTCTCACCGCACGGCATTCGTAAGGCACGCTTGGGAATGAAGCAAGTGACTTTGCAGAATCCTTGTCGGACCCAAGTAGGCAACCAAGAGGTTATCACTTTCACGCATGCAGTCAAAGGTGTGCGCACTACCTTTGATGCTGATCGCACAATCAGAACCACGTGGAAGGACTCACAATTCATGGTAAAAGATGCCATGGGAATCGAGCGTCCAGTGGATGAGCCGCGCGAGTCCCAAGTAACCTTTCTCAATGCAATGCAGTTCTGCAAAAAGTGGCGCAGGCGCAAAACTGATAAGCAAATGTATATAGCCTTTGTTAGGCCTGCTCATGTGCCTGTACATAATGATTCTACTTTGCATGCTGTTTCCACCTCGGATGCAACTACTTCTACCTCTACTAAATCTACCTCTAGTCCAAATGACTCTACTTCTAATCCTGTCGTATTGGCTGCACCTATGACATCTGATATGCTTGCTCCTGAGAGTGATGATCCCCCTCCGGAAGTTCCACCAGAAATTCGCAACCTTCTCAACCGATTTCYTGAGGTCTTGGCCGRACCGCATGGAGTTCCCGTGCGTCTGGTCCGACACAAGATCGAGTTGATTGAAGGTAGCACTCCTCCAAAGGGTTGTGTCTATCGAATGGGCTCAGGCGAATTGGAGGAGTTGCGAAGGCAGATTGATGAGATGATTGGGAAGGGATGGATCAAACCCAGTGAGTCTGAGTTTGGTGCACCAGTGTTGTTTGTTCCTAAGAAGGGAGGCAAACTGCGGATGTGTATTGACTACCGCGGATTGAATAGAATCACAAGGAAGAATGCATACCCTTTACCACGTATCGATGATCTGCTTGATGCTGCAAGTGGGTGCAAAGTCTTCAGCAAGATCGATCTCAAGTCTGGCTACCACCAGATTGAAGTCGATCCTGCAGACCAGCACAAAACCGCATTCAAAACTCGCGATGGGCTGTACGAATTCACCATCATGCCCTTTAGTCTCACGAATGCGCCAGCCACCTTTCAAAGTCTCATGGACAAAGTGTTCCGCCATCAGATTAACCGGTTTGTTGTTGTTTATTTGGATGATATACTAATATTCAGCAAATCAATGGAGAAGCACATGAGACATCTTGAGGAAGTGTTGCAGGTCCTCAAGGAAGCGCAACTCCATCTCAACTTGGAGAAATCTGAGTTTGGGAGGGACAGCGTCATCTACCTTGGGCACCGGTTCTCTGCTGCAGGCCTAGAGAGGCAACCAAGGTTGAGGTCATCCGCAATTGGCCTCAACCGGCGAATGTTAGCGAGTTGCGTTTTTTTCTTGGTCTTGCGTCCTACCACCGCAAGTATGTGCCTAAGTTTTCTATCACCGCCCGTCCGCTGTCTAGATTGACTAGCAAGAATGTGTCTTATACATGGGATGGGGAATGCACGACAGCCTTCGCAGCATTAAAGGAGCCTTTGGTGAGTCATCCGGTGCTCCGCATTGCAGATCCCAAACTCACATTCGTAGTAACTACGGATGCCACTATGTATGGGATTGGTGCAGTGCTGCAACAAGATGACGGCGACGGCCTACGTCCGCTAGAGTTTTACAGCAAACGTATGCCCAGTCACAAGGTAGCTGCCTCCACCTACATGCGAAAACTCTATGCTTGAGAGAGGCACTAGACCACTGGAAGCACTACCTCTTGGGTCGCCACTTCAAGGTGTTCTCAGACCATGAGACCTTGAAATGGGTTTAGACACAGAATAATCCCTCAACTACACTGACCCGTTGGCTGCATGAGATTGTTGTGTATGACTTTGAGATTAAGCACAAGAAAGGATGTTACAATCGCGTTGCGGATGCTTTGTCGCGCCACCCGGAGTACATGACTTGCCTTGTGGGTTCCTCTGACCTGCGTAAAAATCTGAAGGAGGAACTCATAGAGCATACTGCCAAGGATCCGGAACTCGGTCCCATCCTTGAGCAGATTCGGGCTGACCCTAGTAGTCAGCTTGATTTCCATGAATGTAAAGGCCTTCTCTTCCGACGTTATGGGAAACATGACCGATTGTGCGTGCCCAACCATGAGCCGTTCATGACTCACTTCTTGGACTTGGCTCATGGCCGGAGTGGACACTTCGGCGTTGAGAAGACATACGGAAATCTGTTGGAAAAGTTTGTGTGGCCTGGAATGAAAAGAATGACGCAAAGGTTTGTGGCTGAATGTGAAGTTTGTCAACGCATCAAACCGTCTCGAGAGAAGCCCTATGGGCTGCTGCACCCTCTTCCTATCCCTGATGGTCCAGGTGAGTCTGTTTCCATTGACTTCACGGACATGGGGAAAAAGAGCAGAAACGGTTATTCACAGGTAATGGTGATCGTCGATCGTTTTTCCAAGTTTCTGAACCTAATCCCATTACCACCTCACGCCCCAACTGACCTTGTAATCGAAGAATTTAACAAAAGGTACATTCTGCAGTGCGGGCCCCCGAAGACTCTTGTGAGCGATTGGGATACCAGGTTCATAAGTGCAGATTGGAAAGACTCCACCTCCCAGACCTACGACATGAAACTCAAGATGACGTCTGGTCGACACCCCGAAGCCAATGGACTGGCCGAGGAGATCAACCAGACCGTGATCCAACTTCTCAGGGCTCTTATCGTGCCTGACCAGAACTCTTGGGATGAGGAGTTGCCGATTGTGCAGGGGTACTCCATCCACTCTTCCACCGGGATGACGCCTAACCGGCTGCACCTCGGATGGAAAATCCGCAATCCCCTATCCTATCTGTTCCCGGAACAGCCACCTGGCCTAACACCTGGCCAGCCAGGCTACAGTGCTAAGTACGATCGTTTGCTCAAAGTTGCTATCGCGGCTATGGAGAGGCGACGCAGTGCTATGATTAAGCATGCGAACAAGAAACGCCAGCCTGATCCCTTCACCGTGGGAAGTTATGTCTGGGTCAAGATGTCTGAGTTTTCTGAAGAAGAAGGCGTGTCACGGAAACTTCTTCCTCAGTACTACAATCCCTGGAAGGTGCTGAATCGAGTAGGTAATGATTCCTTCGGTCCTTCTTACACGATTGATGTGCCTGCGCATCTGCGCACGTATCCAGTCTTCCACACATCGAAGTTATTTCCGTATGAACCACCTGAGACGTTCAAGTACCGAGAATCGATGATTCCTCGCGCAATCAATGGCGGTCACGAGGTTGATAGAATTGTCGAGCACAGTGGGAAGGGAAGAAACAGACAGTACAAAGTCCATTTTTTGTACCATCCGCTGGATGATTTCTACTGGATTGCTAAGAAAGACTTACTGCAGAGTGCACCGCGTGTCGTTAACGCCTATGAGCGATTGATAAATTCTGAACAGCAACCAAAATTCACTGCTACCCTGACTCCTACGGAACACACCCGATCTCTCTTCGCTATCTACGCTTATGATGCATTATGCAAGGACTCTGATTGAGTTACTCGCTCGAAGGGACCTCGCTCTCGAGGGGGGAGTAGTGTAATGACCCGTCAAAACACAGACTGAGAACACTGCTGATTTCTGAAGTTCTGCCGATGGAATGGATGCCTTG